TATATGGATAGATTCCGGGAAATTGCATGGAGACAGCCAGGAGTTGGCTAGCCTTCCTGACTGTATTGTGGTGGTCACTTTGTTTTCGGGTCATGGCAAGTCTGCCTAAGGCACTCATTCACACGCCTTCTGTGCCTCGGGTTCAGAAGTGAACTCCGGAAGCTTCCTCTCACATATAGACCACTGAGCTGATGGAGGCGATATGGGTGACCCAAGAGTGACAGGGTCTCTGTCTTCTTTGTCAGTGTCTTTGCACAGCTTCTTCAGGCAAGGGCAGCTTTAGCTCGTTACAAGCTTCTGGAACCTCCACCCACAGCTGGAAGGAAGGCCAACACATACAGTGAGTTCAGATGGTACATCCAAAGGGGAAATGTTCCTCACTGCTGCCTCCCGTGGCCTTTTCATCCCTCAGAAACCGGAGCTCCGGCCTCTTGCATTACCCTTCCTCCCCTGTGAGCTGAAGCTTGGGGAATTATTTTCCTCAGGACTGCAATGTTAGGGTGACAGACTTTAGGAACTGATTTGGGGCACTTTATACTCTAGTGATTTTTATCTCTTTGGATACCAGTGTTTCAGGCTGAAGTGTTTGGGCACTCCAGGCTTGTGAAGTGGTATTCAGTCAATAGGTCAGAGCTGCGTCCCCTCACAGACCTCAGGCCTCTTTCTTGACGGCGCAAGTGGCCAGATGCAAGTTTGTCCTTCACCTTGTGTGATGGTTAACAATGAGCTCCAATAAGACGGAGTCTGAAGCCACCTAGAGACAAACCTCGGGGCATGTCACATTTGTGAGGAAATTTTAGGTTATAATAATTGGGGTAAAAAGAGCCTCCCTAAATGTGGGTAGGAATATGACAACTGCCTCATTCCCCACATGCCTTCTCCACAATGATGGCCTGCACCTTTAAAGCGTGAACCAAAATAAACCTTTCCTTGAGTCAGGCCTTTTGTTACAGCAACCACACGTCCCACACGACAGGCCCAGAGAAACTTTGCTGAGGTGGAAGGCCCTGGGTGTTTCCCACACACCACATCATCTACTGCGGCATGTTGCCATTTCCTCACCAGGTACAATCACCCGGTAGTGTCAATTCAGCAGACCAGCATGACGTCCTGTGCCTGGGAAAGGCGAGAAAGACTCCTGTGAACAAGTTCTAGCAGAGCCAGAGTTGGCATGCCTCAGAGCAAGGACAGTGGGTGACGGCATACCGCTGAAGGCCCTGCTGGCTAGCAGCAGACACTTCTAGTGGTGGCCACGGACAGGGAAGCTGGAGAAGCATTTGTTGCACCTGTGGCTACACAGCAGGTCCCAGGGCATGAGCTCGTGTATCCAAGAAATAAAACTACATCTGTCGTGACACCTGCGAGTGGAGTCCCCACTTGGATGAGTTTAGGACAGTCCATGTCCTCCTCCTGAATACATCTCTCTTCTTGAACACAAATAGGAGACTTGAATGGGGAGAGTCCCACCCCTGGCAATTATACCTCTCTGGTTTCCCAAAGATTATACTCAGTTGACTGTTTTGGAAATGGAGGCAATTCTAAAAGTTCCTACTTGGCCCTTCCCATCATCATGAACAACCAATGTGGGGTTCTACCAGGTCCAGATTCTTAGGGACTCCAGCACATTCACAGACTGAATATCAGGAGGTTCTCACACTGCTGTGTGATTTATGGTGGATTCATGCATGGCTCTTGCCTTGCCTTGAGCACTGCTAGGCTTTACATCTTAAGCCACTGGCTAGCTTTTTTTTTTCTCCCAGCACTGGAGATCAAACCCAGGGCTTCACTCATGTTAGGGCTTTATCACTGAGCTGCAGCCCCAGACCCAAGACTAGTTACAAACCACAAACTAAAACACGTATGGAGGTGTGTGGAAAGCAGGCAGCGCCCTGTGGAACAGCTGTCTGGGATGGGGACGCTCCTTCAGACTCTCCACCTAGAGGTGTGTCTTCCCAGACAGGGGAGAGAAATGGAGATGGCCCTTCAGATGTGACAGGCAGAGGTCTGCCTTCCTAGGCGGGCGAGAAGGACTGCTTCTATCAGCGAAGAAAATGCAATGGGATCTCAAAGCTGGTGTCCCTGGTGCAATGGGATCTCAAAGTCTGGTGTCCCTGGTGCAATGGGACCTCAAAGCTGGTGTCCGTGGTGCAATGGGATCTCAAAGTCTGGTGTCCCTGGTGCAATGGGACCTCAAAGTCTGGTGTCCCTGGCTTCACTCAGGTTGTCCCCTGGACCCCCATCAACTGTAACTTGAAGACTCCCATTGTTTCTCACTCGATGCTTTTGCTTTAAAGTAAAGACATGGGAGCTTGGCAATATTAACGTCCTCACAGAACTGACCACCATGAGTGGTGACCCTGCCACACTCAGCATGAACTTCTGAGCTTGCTTTGCAGAAATCTCAGTCCTGTGGCTGTGGGGAACAAGGACATCAAGGCAGGCAGACACTCTTGTGTCACTGACATAGAACTTGAGTAAGAACTGGACGCCTGAATTCCTGATTTCTTCCAGTCCCCCATCAGTTAGGAAAAACTATTAAGTGCCATCCTTGTTCTTATTTTAACTCAAGTGTTCTAATGTAGCAACTATTTGGCTACACAGACACTCTCTGTTTGATTATAAATGTCTAACAGGAATAATCCAAATATTTCACCACATCTTGACCCAGACTAGCTGGGTTTCCTTCATTGTTGTTTGCAGTGCTGGGGCTTGAACCCAGGGCCTTTGCATGCTAGGCAAATGTTCTAGCACTGAGCAAGTAAGCTACACCCAGAGCCCTGGCACTGTCCTCCTTACCATGGAGAATAGGGCTATTCGCACCTTTAAATCTTTTAAGACTAGATAACCAGTTCCAGAAACCTTGAACAGATCTGGAGAGAGCATGATTCCATTTCCGCGGCATCGACATCTGTATCAGGCAAGGTTCACACAGGGACGGCGCTCTGGCTGCACACAGATGGTGCACTGGCGCTTGTGAACTGCGTCTGCAATGAGATGATTACAAAGCTCTGCATTTTGATCTGGTGTCAGAAAGGGCCTCGCTAGGAATTAGAGACTCAAAGCAGATGGTGAGGAGACAGATGTGCTAACAGAGGGAACTCAGTCTGACACACGGTGGCATAATTACAGTCTCTGCTTTAGCAGAGACCTGCACCGGATGCGGGCGCACACCTGACATCCCGCGCTCAGGAGGCTGAGGAAGGCAGATCACAATTCTGGGACCAGCTTGGGATGCGTGGTAAGTTCCAAAACTGGGCTACATAGGGAGACACTGCCTCAAAGTAATTAAATTAGTTAATTGGCTAATTAATTTAAAATAGACACCAGATAGAAACTCCTCTAGGGCAAAGACTGCTACTGACAGCCATTCTTGATCAGGAAGAGATGTGGTAAAAATACAATATGCTATTATTTATAAACTACTATTATAGCTGATATTTAAATTTTTCTAAATATTTGAATGTTTGTGAATTTTTTCCGATTTGGATCAAGTCTCATTTATAACTTTGGCCTCCTCATCAAAATTCTCCAGATGTTTTGTTGTTTTTCTTTTTAATTTTTTTGAGATCTATTTACTTTTACTTTGTGTGTGAGTCTTTGCCTGAATGTTTGTGTGACTGTGCAATGAGTGTGTGCAGTGCCCATGGAGGCCAGAAGAGGGCATCAGATCCCTGAGACTGGAGTTACAAAAGGTTGTGAGCCGCCACATGGGTGTTGGAAACTGAACCCTGGAAGAGCAGCCATTGCTCTTAACCACAGAGCCATTTCTCTAGTTTCTTATTATTTTTCAACTGGGTATTTTATTGAGATCATTGCAAATTCACCCAGGCAGTTACAAAATTTTTCTATAGACAGGGTCCATGGACCTTTTGCTTTGCTCAGATACCCCTAGAGTAACATTTTGTAAATTTTCAGTATAGCACTAAACAAAGTATCCACATTGGGGAGGTATACCAGACATCCTGTAATTTCCCCAGCTTTTCTCTGACCTGTCTGCCTGTGTGCCTGTTTAGTGCTATGTAACGTCTAGTGTAGGTTTGTGGCTTTACCAACATAGTGGTACTGATTTGTCTTCCATTTCTACAGTTGTGCTATCTCCAGAATGTAATATGCAAACAAGAAAAGGGAAAATACAGCCATGCCTAGTTGTATCATCTTCTAATCCCAGCTATCCAGGAAGCTGAGGCAGGAAGACTGCAAACCCAGGCTGTCTGGACTGCAGAGTGAGTTTAAGGCCAGCCTGAGCAATTTCATCTCTCAAAAAAAAAAATACGGCTCATTTGAAACAATGAAATAAACCAGCAGAAACCAACACTGTGGGAGCCTAGAAGTCGAACTTACTAAACAAAGACTTGGAAATAACTGTTTAAAACACACACCAAGAACTAAAGAAAATTAGGAACCACAAAGTAAGGGAAAACGGGAAAAACGTAGGGACAAAATGAGACAGACTATCAATAAAGAGAAATTATAAAGAGCAAGCAAGCAGAAACTCTAGTAAGTACAATAACTAATTAAAAATTTGCACAAGGAGTCGGTAGCAGATTTGAATATCTAGACACAGCCGCTTGAGGTCACAGAGTCTAAGGACAGAAAGGCAGTGAGGAACCTAAACAGAGACCGCAGGACCTGCTGGTCCAGCATCACAAGCATTGTTAAGACTGGTGGGACAAACAAAGGCAGCAACACAGCAACAAAAACCAGAGACAATCCTCAGCTCAACCAGACAGAGCAGCGTGCCACACACGCACAGCCAAAGTGTGAAATGAGAAAAGGAACACCAGTCAGGAACTCTGCCTCCAGTAAACAGTCTCTGCAGGTGAGCCTGGAAGTAACACATTCTCAGATAAATGAATTGTCGCTTTCAAACTGTCCTTGCAAGAAATGCTGAAAGGATTGATCAGTCTGAAATAAAAGCATACTGAATACAAATTGAAGCAATATAAAAAAATTAAAACTTCCAATGAAGACAAATTCACAGGAAAATATAAATGCCAGGCCCATTTTTAAAATTCCATTTTTATTTACTTTATGATCAGAAACACCAGTGAATAAAACGGTGCACACCTACATCGTTGAGCACACAATATACAAAGATGTGGTTTGTGATGTCGGTTGTCTGCAGGAGTGGACAGAGCTGTATAGAATATAGCATGGCACTGGGCAGTGGTGGTGCACGCCTTTAATCCCAGCACTCGGGAGGCAGAGGCAGGTGGATCTCTGTGAGTTCAAAACCAAGCCTGGTCTACTGAGCGAGTTCCAGGACAGGCTCCAAAACAATACAGAGAAACCCTGTCTCGAATATATATATATATATATATATATATATATATATATATAATGGCACACTGTGAAAATTAATTCGGTGTCAGTTTTAATTAGATTGCTATAACTTGGGGCTGGGGTGATGGGGAAGTCCTTCTGCATATATGTCAATAAAACACCGTTGGCCAACAGGGAAGCAAGGTAGGTGGGACTAGGAGTCTAGGAAGATTCTGGGAAATGTAGTGAGGAGAGTTGCCGCCAGGTGATCTCTTGGGAGCAACAGGTGCTCAGGAGTGCATCCTCAAAAAGATAAGTCCTTATGAAATATATATTAGTAATTATGGGTTAATAATCAAGTCAGAGCTAGTTAATAAGAAACCGAGCAAACGGCCAAGAGCTTCATAACTAATAGTGTCCTGTGTGTTATTTGGGGCTGAAAGCGGCAACAGGACCCAGGCAGTGGGCAGGAAGACTCACGTTACACTGGGGAGATGGTTTAGTGGTCAAGAGCACTTGCTGCTCTTGCAGGACACCCAGGCTCTATTCTTAGCACCCACGTGGCCTCTGTCTTAGGGTTTTTATTGCTGTGAAGAGACGCCATGGCCACTGCAACTCTTATAAAGAACACATTAATTGGGGAGGCTCACTTGCAGTTTCAGAGGTTTAGTCCATTGTCGTCACAGTAAGGAGCACGGCAGCGTGCAGGCAGATGTGGTGCTGGAGCTGAGAGTCCTATGTCTTTCAGGCAACAGGAAGTCGACTGAGCAGTAATATCAAGGGACGCTTACACAAAAGAGACCTCAAAACCCATCCCCACAGTGAGGCACTTCCTCCAACAAGGCCAAGCTCCCATTAGTGCTACTCCTTGGGGGACATTTTCTTTCAAACCACCACATTCCACCCCCTGGCCCCCATTATGCCATATCATAATGCAAAAATACATTCAGTCCAACTTCAAAAGTCCCCACTGTCTATCACAGCCTCGAACTTATTTCAAAGTCTAAAGTCTCTTCTGATATTCAAGGCAGTTTCTTAGCTGTAATCACCTGTAAAAATCAAAATAAAAAAAAAAGATCCTATGCTTCAACATATAGTAACATAGGATACACATTACCATTCCAAAACATAGAGAAGGGAGTGTAATGTAGCGAGTCTTTATCTGTCCCACCTGACAGCTCCCAAATCACAACACAGAGACTTATTATGAATTTAAAAAGCTCAGCCACTAGCTTAGGCCTGTTTCTAACCAGCTCTTATAACTTAAATGAACCCATTTCTATTAACTTACAGCTGCCACGTGGCTCATGACTTGTTACCTTATCTCCTATGTGTCATGGTTCCTTTGTGTCTCCTCTCAACTTGGCCCTTCTTTCCAGTGTCCTGTGCACCTCAAAATCCTGCCTAGTTATTGCCATTCAGTTTTTTATTAAGCCAATCAGAGTAACACATCTTCCCAGTATACAGAAAGATTATTCCACAACAGCATAGTGAGGAAATACTGGACCAAAGGGAGACTGAAAACCAGCTTGGCAAACTCCGAACTCTGTGTCTCCTTGTCTGATATGAAAACACTCCTCAGTTCCCCAACTCTGTTCAGGTTTGACTGAATCACACGTCTGTCTCTTGGGCTGGTTCCACTCCCTGTTAGCAGCTCTCCTTAGCAAGTATCCCAAGAGTCTGCCATCTCTAACATCTTGGGTTCTCCAAGGCAATCCGGATTTCAATGCCACACCTTCATGCAATGGCCCCTGTACTAGACCCCAGACACATGCCTGGCCTCAGGGATTTTCTTTAGGTGTGGAGGCGTGTTCTATAACCTGTTTCTTTTACCTTAACTATAAAGCCAGAACTAGGTGCCTGAAGCTGCCAAGTTCTGCTGCTTACTGTGGCTGGAACATGGCCCTTCATTCTATTACATCTTCACCAGCTTTCTGTTTTTCACTGCCTGAGCTTGGCTGTCCTGAAACTTGCTCTTAAACCAGATTGGTCTCACACTCAGAGACCCACCAGCCTCTGTCTTCCCAGTGCTGGGTTTAAAAGTGTGCCCCCACCACACCCAGCCCTAAACTTTTCTTTAGTTTCTTTCCACAAGTTGGAAATTTAGCCGGGTGGAATCTTGCCCTGAGGTCACCACTCCCTTTATTTCATTTCCTAATTCATTTGTCTCCTTGAACACAGAATTTAGCTTCACTCCACTTTCTGGTAGTCTTTTTCTCCTCAAAGTTTACTTTTTTTAAAATTTACCCTGCTCAGCTTGCTTCTTTTCATTATAAATCTTTGTTAGAGTCACCACTAATAACCACATGGCAGAGTCTAGACTGTTTTGAGATTTCCTCTGCCAACAGGATTAATCCAAAACTCTTCAGTTTACCCTCAGGCAGACTCTTTGGACAAAGGCAAAAGGCAGCCACTTCCTTTACCAAAATATCACAAGAACCAACTCTAGGCACGTACCATAGTTCTCCTCTGAAGCATCTTGATCCAGCACCCACAGTTCATCAAATCACATTCAGCACCACTGTCTCCCACTAGGATGGCCCATTAAGCAGTGCTTAAAGCATTCCACCCTTTTCAAAAGCAAAGTCCCAAAGTCCACATTCCTCCAAACTATCACAGCAATGTCCCAGGCCCTGGCACCAACTTCTGTCTTCCTCAGGGTTTCTATTGCTGTAAAGAGATGACCACGGCAAGTCTTATAAGGAGAGCATTTAATTGAGGGGGCTGGCTTACCATTTCAGAGGTTCAATCCATTGTAATCTTGATGGGTAGCATGACAGTATGCAGACAGACATGGTCCTGGAGAAGGAACTAAGAGTCCTACATCTTTTAGACAACAGGAAGTCAACTGAACAGTCATACCAAGGGAGCTTACACAAAAGAGACCTCAAAGTTCACCCCCACAGTAACACACTTCCTCAAACAAGGCCACACTTCCTAATAGCACCACCCCTTTGGAGGCCATTTTCTTTTAAACCACCACAGCTATGCACAACTGCCTTTAATTCCAGCTCTGGGAGATTCTTCTGGCCTCCATGGGCACATTTCATTCATGTGTACAATACACCACACACACGGACATACATGTACAATACACCACTCACACACACAGATGCACAATACACCACACACACAGACATACATGCACAATACACTACACACACACACCGATGCACAATACACCACACACAGGGACATACATGCACACCACACCACACACACAGACACACATACACATTAAACATAATAAAAGCAGGTCTTTAAAAAGGTATAAGATAAGCATGCTCACTTTGACCACTTCTGTTCCTCACATTATTAGAATTCCTAGCCTGACCTAGGAATGGTGGCCCATGGTGTAATTCCAGTACTCAGGAGGCTGAGGCAGGAAGATTACTGTGAGTCTGAGGCCAGCCTGGGCTACACAGCACATACCAGGCTAACCAGGGCTATGTACCAAGACCCTGTCTCAAAATATAAAATTAAGAAGTCTGAGCCAGAGCCAGGCGGTGGTGGCACATGCCTTTGATCCCAGCACTTGGGAGGCAGAGGCAGGCAGATCTCTGTGAGTTCAACACCAGCCTGGTCTACAAGAGCTACTTCCAGGATAGACTCCAAAGCCACAGAGAAATCCTGTCTCGAAAAACCAAAAAAAAAAAAAAAAAGAAAGTCTGAGCCAGAACAATTAGGCTAGAAAAAGAAATGAAAGGCTTTTCAAATTCAATAGAAGTACAATCATCTTTATTCAACAGTATGACTTTATGTAACATATTATATAATACATACCCTGTATATAGTGTACATGGAAATGCCTTATTTATATGTTAGATAATAAATAATACCTTATATAATATATACTATATATAATATATGTAGAAATGATTGATATTATATCTGGAAAAAAGTGAAACAAAAAACTATCAGAACCAAGATATGAATGATCAAGAATTCAGGACACAAAAACAACATGCCAGAATACGTTGCATTTCTAGAGACTAAAAACAAAACTGAAATCATGAAAATTATTTGATTGACATCAAAAATGATGAAGTACTGAGGGATTCTTGTGAGCGGAAGGCCATGGACGTCCCCTGCGCTCTGTGAGAGGCTGCACACTGTCAAAGTCACCAACAGCCATAACTGCTTCCAAGGTCTCTGTGGCATCTTCCACATAAATGAAAACCCCACACTCAAACTCCTGAGGAACAAAACAATCTCTAAAAAGAATAGAGCTGGAGGACCTGTGCTTGCAACTTCAGGGCTAAGCAGGGAGCTGCAGGCACCAGAAGTGTGTGGTCTGGCAGGATGACAGACACATGGACCAGCGGGATGCAACCCAGAAGGGGAGACAGGCCTTCCCATGCACAGGGAGGGATTTTCTGTTTTGTTGCCAAGACCACTCACTGGGAAAAGCATTCTTCAACCAAAACTGTTGGGGAAACTTGATATCCTCATCACAAGAAAGACCAGCATTGGGCCCTTATCTCATACCATTTATAAAAATTAACTCCAAATGAATCAAAAACCTAAACTTCAGATGAAAACTAAAAACACTCTGAAGGAAAAAAAGGAATTGAAAGGACAACATGCCTACCAGGAGAAGAGACTTGGAAATCAAACCACTGAGTTATACCAAGGGCACATGTGAAAATCTACTGTCCGGCCAGTAAGACGACGCCTCCGGCGCTTGCTACCAAGCTTGGCAACCTGAGTTTGGCCTCCAGGACCCAACTGGTGGATGGAGAGAAACGCCCCCTGCAAGTTGCCCTCCGACTTCAACACACATGCTGTGGAACCCACGTATACATGCCTGTTCACACACGTGTACATACACATACAATAAATACATGCATGTAAAGACAATGTTTAATCTGCTACCATACAAAAATCACATCTGAATTCACAAATGGACAAAGGAATGAATGGACATTTGGCCAAAGACTACATCCAACTCTTGTGAAGGGTTCAACACTGTTAACCAAAAAGGAAACACACTCAGAATATGGGGAGAAAACAGTTCGCACCCCCTGGCACAGCCGTTGCTTTTAGAATGGCCAGATGTAGAGAAACTGGCCCCTCTGTGCGTGGCTGATGGAACTGGAGAGTGGCACGCTGCCCAGCAACAGCCTGGTAGTTCTCCAGGAGGTTAAATCATGTGACCCAGCAATTCCATTTCTGGGTATGCCCCCACCAAAAGAACGGACATCAGGGCTTGAAGAATATATATATAATATATATATATATATATATATATACAGTCGCATCCATAGCCGCACCATTGGTGGATTAAGAGATAGCAGTTATGAAGTTACTCCAGGGCCCAGGAGTAACTGCAAATGTGGACAGAGGTCAGCTGGGGATGCTGAAAAAGCTATGGAGAGAGATGGAGGGATGGTAGGCAATGCCATAATACTGTGTGTGTGTGTGTGTGTGTGTGTGTGTGTGTGTGTGTGTGTGTGTGTGAAAGCATCCATGCTGTAGCGTGCATGTAGAGGTCGTCGGGGGATAGCACTGGATGTCTGTCCTCCTCTTCTATGTTCCACCAAAGTCTCCTCGTTGTTCATAGCTGTGTATACCAGGCTAGCTGGACCCTAGATTTCTGTGGATTCTTCTGTATCCACCTCCTATCTCCTAGTAGGAGCTCTGGGATGATAGAGGCAAGTTACTAATAGTGGAGACCTGGGATTTGAACTCAGGTCATCATGCTTGTGTGGCAAGCACTTTTGGTTTTTTGTTGTTGTTGTATTTGTTTTGGTTTTTTGAGACAGGGTTTCTCTGTGTAGCTCTGGTTGTCCTGAAACATGATTTGTAGGCCAGGCTGAACTCAAACTCACAGAGATCTGCCTGCTTCTGCCTCCCAAGTGTGTGTGTGTGGGGGGGTTTAAAGGTACATGCCACGCCACACCCAGCTGCCATTGTGATATTCTTAATCCTGTTCAACTATATAATTAAAAATGGAAAAAACCAACAAATTTATGTTGTGCATATTTTGGGGTAAGGAATGAAGGCAGCTAAACAGTGCCCGGTGACTTGTGGTGTCCGATGGCTTCATTCACTAGCTCTTCACAAGAGGAAACGCCATTTCTGCGTGGAGAGTCTTTATGAGCAGTGTAGGCTGTGAGCAAGCAGTCCCAGCTGGCTGACATAACCCTCCTGTGGCTCAGCTAGTCCCAGGCGGTGACCAGGTTGCTTGCTCACACCACAAGGCTGTGGTCCTTTCTCGTGTCCTGCGTAGCCTTCGGAGGTCTCTGTCATCACAGTCACTCACTGTAATTTGTCCTGCCTCCAGTTTGGAGAGGGTTCCTCATCACAGTCAAACACGCCGCTTCTGCCCACCTAGTCTGCCACTGAGAATACTAAGTACTCTTCTGAGGGCCCACTTCCGAGTGTCCGGCCTAAACCCTCAGCTGCAGAATGGCCGTGTCCCATGACAACTCTCTATGCTTCATCTCTTCGGGGAGGTAAAAGAAATGTTCCGCTCACAGTCGCTGTAGTTATTCACAGTCATTGCAAAGTGCGAGACAATAAGAGAGGCTGCTCTTCTCTTCCCTTCACCGTGCTGCCGTATCTGTGTGGTTGTCAACACTGGCCATGGAGGCTCGTGACTGCAATGGGCAGCGGCTAATTCAGGACTGTTGGGGGCTGAGAACCACTGGAGTGCTTAGCTGCAGAGGAGACATCTGTATCATCCGCCTCCCACGGACTCAGGCAACATGGCGGAAGAGGGGGCGGAGACAACGTAAGAGCTGGGGGATGCGGGGAGTGCGATGTCTTCTGGGCATGATGCAGCTGTTGTACACACGATCTCACAGGAGCATTGCTTACTTCCTCGAGGCTTGCACAAGATCAGCCAGTTACAATTTCCATCATGGAGTGGGAGGGGTTCCCAAGGTCCCCACCCTGGAGGAGAAGCTATTGGCACTGAAGGAGAAGAAAGTCACTTTCCCTTAAGAGTGCGGACACTGTAGGTTCCCAGGTCCCAAAGTGCGGACACTGTAGGTTCCCAGGTCCCAGTGGGTGACCCCATGCCCATGGGCACGTAGACAGCACATATTGTACTCAGTGGGCTAAAAATAAATAATAAAAAGAGGACAAGGAGGAGGAAAAAGAAGAAGGAGGAAAAGAAGAAGACGTAATTATGAAAGGAGTACACAAAGTTAGGAGGGAGTTGGCAGAATGTTCAGAGTGGATATGATCAAAGTACATTGTATAAGCATATGAAATTTTCAATGAATAAATAGAAATTTATATTTTTGTTGTTTTGTTTTTCAAGGCAGGGTTTCTCTGTGTGACTTTGGTTATCCTGGAACTCACTCTGTAGACCAGGCTGGCCTGGAACTCACAGAGATCTGCTGCCTCTGCCTCCCGAGGGCTGGGATTAAAGGTGTGTGTCACCACATCCCGGCCCAAAGAATTTATGTTTTTCAAAAGAAAGCAATAGAGGCTGGGAATGTAACTAGTTGGTAGAACACTTGCCTAATATGCACGACGCGATGGGTTCCAACCCCCAGCACCCGGTAAACCGGGAGTGATAGTGCATGGATGTCATCCCAGTGCTCAACAGGTAGAGGCAGGAGGACCAAAATTTCACTCATCCTCGTCTATGCAAAGTCTGAGAGCATCCTTGGCTACATGAGGCCTGTAAGGAGGAGGAGGAGGAAGAGGAGGAAGACGAAAACCTGTGCTTTCCTCCAAGTTCCCGGAAGCAAAGCCCTGTTGTCACAGAGGGCTCTTCTCATGTTTTCCTCTTGTACCACTGGGACCCCTGAGCCTCTTGCATGCCACCCCAGTCAGCCTCGCAGGTGCTGGGGCCACCGCCTGTCCTGCAGTGGCTACCGAGCCAGCAGCAGAATTCAT